CAAAATGTTTTGACAGTGTCATGCTCAGCCAGTGCCAAGGATACGAGACTGCCGGAGAATTGTTTGGCACGAGCTGCCAAAGAGTTGGGGAAAAGCTCTGAATTTCGAGTGGTTTGGCAAGTAGATTTGCGACAACGACCGATTCATTTTGTATTGCGCATTCATATCGCGGCAAAAGAGCCACAAAACAAAAACAACGACAAGAACAGCAGCATTGACAACAAGGAATTGATGGCCCCAATACGAGGTTTGTTCAAAGAACAGGCTCTTCGAAAGCTAACTTGTTTCCGCACGGAATTATATTCCTACCTAAAAAACGTTGGGTAACTTAATTTGTCTATCAGTTTCTCTTTCTCTCTCTCTCTCTCTCTCTCTCCATCTCTCTCTCTCTGGATGGATTATAATGTCGAGTGCGCGGAGCAGCTTCTTATAATTAATAAATTCCTCCTTGCCACTTTTACTTGTTCCCCATTTAGTGATATTTTCCCATTTGTTTATAAGTACTTCCAAACGTACGCTAAACCAAACAATTCAGTTTTCAATTGATTTAGAAATCGAAATCGGTATAGAAACAATAATAAATCTTAGCAAAGTGGCGGGATAACAAATGGGCCCTTTCACAAACATTTGGCAACAAAACTGAATCAGAAGATTTAGGGAAAACTCTTGAAACCGAATCGAATAGGTCATTCCTTTTTCGAAATCAAATGCATTATCACTTTTTCCCATGAGTGGCTCGAATTGTGAAACACAAATAGGCCTCAGTAAGTAAGCCTTTATATGTTTTTATATTATTTTATAAGCTTTTATCGAAAATAACTTCAAGTATAAGAGCCAGACCCTCTTGCAAATGATTCTTCGCATTGATGGATGACTCCCAAAACTCTAAACTAGCTTCTCTTCGTTCTGAAGCTGATTATAAATCTCATGTGTTAAGGAATCTATAAGTATTGGCATTAAGGCTATCAACCGTTGTTGTTGTTGTAAGTTGATGGGGATAGGCGAGGCTTGTTTGTTAAAAGCAACATCATTACGAACGTATTTATTTTTTACACCTCGCGATACTCTTCAATCGAATCTCGTTTGGCAAACGAGCACTTCAAGCGGTCGCGACGAGGCTTTGAAATGTTTTATGAGCGCGTAGAAAGGCAGTTGGGTACGAGGCGATAAGAGGAGCGCATAAGAACTTAATGACTAACGACAACAACAACAACAACACGAGCAACGAAACGAGGTGTTGATTGTGCGTCAGGCTTTTTGTAGCCTTCGCCTTGTGCCTCTCATCATCATCAACATCAACATCCTCATCATCACCATTATGCCAGTTTGCCTATAAAATGTGTTTTTTTTTGTGTTTTGGTTGCATTTCGCACAGGTGCCAAAAAGTTGCAGCCACTAGATGCAGAAAACAGAAGATAAGTGTATGGAAAGCAAAATTTATAGGCACACGGAGCACTAAAAATTTAAATTGCGGCCATTTAGTGGCGGCAACTACAACAACAACAACAAACAAAGAGCCAAGCGACATCATTTAAAAAGAGCGCCCATCTGGGGGCTCAGCATCCTTGGGACTGAAGCAACAAACTCAAAGTTTGTGAGTGTGTGTTTATCAGTGATTTCATTGTTGTTGTTGTGTTGTGGTGGTGCTGGTGGTGGTGGTGGTGCCTGATCTGGAGCAGCGATAAATTGAGGCACTGGCACCACCACCTTTTCTGTCTGTTCGCTCGCTGTTGACAAATCAGTCGTCGTTGCCGGCACACGCGCCCGATACTGAAAAAATTGGACAGAGATCGAGTCGGAGACCGAGATCAAGAAAGGCCTCAAAGCAGACCCTTTGTCACCTACAAGCCATTTACCCCCACGTCTCTAACCAAAGGCGAAGGGCAGCACATTAAAAGTAAATTAACTTATCAGCGACAACGATCAGTTATTTTATTACGTTTGTCCACGCAGTAACACGAACATTATAATATCAAAGATGCCGATTAAGATTCCTCTGCTGCGCCAGATCCAGACGCAGACACAGACCCAGACCCAGAGATGCCAAACCAAAACCGAAAAGCCGAAGAGCGAAGAGAACGAACGGCAAACGGCAAAAGGTAAAATGCAAATGCAATTGGTGTTGGGCTTTTTTTTTGTTTTGGTTTATTTGTCAATTCAATGGTCTATAGAGCTGTATGCTATATACTCATGCTTATAAGTAGGTATATATGTAAACGATGTGTGTGGGTTTGGCTTGCTTGACTTGTCAAACTGGCCACGATTCATTAAACCGAATAGAGTTCCTATGATCGTGTTAGGACATATGGAGTAGAACGTTGAATAGTCTTTTCTCCGCTACAGTCAATCAATAAGCTTTGTAGTACCAATTATATATGACTACATATTTAGCCGATTCTTTATAGACAAACATGTTGTCTGCAGATCCTTACAGTTGCTTCATTTCAAATATAGTATATGTGTACTCAAAATTAAGCCAGCATTATTGCATTTGATTCTCCCATAGGTGGATAGAATTCAAAGACCGTGAAACTATTCAGAAATGGTATTCGTATTGTTCAACTGCAGGCTGTAAATATTTAAAAAACTGAAGTAGTTCAGATGAATGTGAGTAAGTTATTTGGAATGAATTAAGGATAAGGTAGTGGCTTTTAGTTCCCATTAATATGGCTGTTCATATGTTCAGAGAAAAAAATGAGAAAATCTTCCAATCTCAATTAATAGTCAACTGAAACCGAAGTCACAGATCCTTTCAATATTTTCCAGAAAAGATGACATATCAATTATCGAAATCATTGAAACCATTGAAATAAATGAAATTATAAATAATAAATAAATTATCTACTCCAAAGTCCAAAGGCTCGTCCAATCGGATCAAGAAAGCCGTCGGACAAATTGACCATTTCTAGGGAAACAAGTTGGTGGGAGTCTGTCGTTATACTAATTCATTTCCACTCCAACTACATTTGAATTCTATATTTTTTTATTACCCCCGAACGGTGTGCAGAAATTCCGAAAATTTTAATAATCCTCTTAGTAGAAGATTACTTTCAGAAATAACAAACTGAACAATGCCTATTAAGATGTTCACTCAAATGATTTAAGCACTATAATTTCCATTGATCACATTTCCATAAAAAGATACGAGATATAGAAAATCAATTGTCGAATATTGAAACCGGACAGCTTAGGATAACTGATCCAGTTCTGGGAGCAATAAAATTATGCAAATATGTTTTGTATTCTGCTTCACAGCCATGCAGATTCAATTCCATAAAATGGCAAATTAGGCAAACTAAAACAAATTTGAGCAAAAGGCACGTTATTTGCATTTAAATATCTGTCAGATGGATGCGATTGCCTAATTTTAAGCATAAATTAATATCATTCAAGCTGATCAGCTTGAAAAGTTGCGCGTCCATTTCCCTAATGTCGGTCTTCAATTAAAGAGCTTAACTTGATAGCTTTAGTTTCTGTATAGCAACAAGTCTGACTTCTCTCTTCGTACTGATACATATTTAAATTTCAATTCTGCATATACTTTGCATTATTAACATCAGCAAAGAAAAAGTAGTACCTTAAATACTTCAATTCCCGGTGTACTCCGATTTCAAGTCTAATTTCAAATCAACTTGAACGGAATTACAAGCTAACTGAACCCTAGGAAATAAATGAACAATGAAAGAGGGTTACATAATATTTGTAAGCACTACTATTTAATATCCCCTATTCAGTTTATAATTGCACATAGAATTACTTAAATAATAACTGACAATAAAGCAAAGTTTACACCTTAATTATCTGCAGTGAAGATAAAAATAGAGTTTGTTTTTAAATAATTAGCCAAATATTTATTTGTAATTGATATTCTTGAAATCAATTATAGATTGCGCAGCATTTTCTGAATTGCTTGAAGTAATTGAATGCAAACCATTTTATGCATTGCCAGATAAACTTAGTATTGTATTTGCATTATGCCGTCAATTGAAATGATATCTGTTGCGAGCCTAGAGAAGCTTTTACTTTACTACTAATACGAGTATAAGCAATCTGAACACTATTATTATTATTAGTAGTATTGGGATGTTGGTTTTCATTTATTTTTGCGACTTCAGCTGAATGTGTTGCGGATGTTGTTAACAGTAGAGCAAACAACACTCCCGTACTGATAAGGCCCCAGTCAATAAATTAATGAACATTAACCGGCAAACAAACACGCTAATTAGATAGTTAGGTAGCTAGATAGTTAGATAGTTAGATAGTTAGATAGGCGTGTGGCAATCCACGAAATTCGCAGAAGAGAGCGCCAGCAGCCAAACGCTTCCTGCGATCCATGTCCACTATGTCCAATGCATTGCTGACGACCGGAAAAACGGGCAAGTGGCAAGTGGCAACTGGCCAGTGGCCAGTGGCCGATGGCTGCTTCTTAGCCCCTGTGCCTCTGCCTCCGCCTCTGCCGGCAACCACAATGGGTAGATACATACGCATATGTATGTATGTAGTTGGTGGCAGTTGTGAAATGTGAATTGTGAGTATTTGGTGCAGTTGCATTTCTTTTTGCTATGCGTTTTGTGTTGTTTTTAGATTACAATATGCAATTATTTTAAGCATTCAATTGGAATTCGACCGCAAAACTCAAAACGCAAAAGGCGCAACCGCAAGTGCGAGCACAGGACAATTATATGCATTTAAATGCTCCTGAGGAGCGCAGAGGTACAAATAACCGTCATCACGAATAGCAATGGCAGTGGCATTGGCAATGGTAAAGGTAATGGCAAAAGCCAGGCCGTGCTGCATTGATCCTTGAAGTGCCAGTCAGTAAACCAGGCAGTCATCCAGCCAGCCTGCCAGCCTGCCAGCCAGCCAGCCAGCCAGCTAGCTAATTATTTTAATGTGTGCGTGGCAATTGAAGCGCGCGCATGCGCTCTGCCTGCAGTTGGTGTTTCGGCTTCCATGGGCTGTGGTGCTCTAATTCCGTTTCGGTTGCTGCCAACAACCGCATGAGCGATCCTAATGAGCGCATTAAGGACGACCTTTTCTGCCTTTCTGGCCAAATCAATCAAACGCGCGCCGCATCGACAAATTGGTAACAACAGGCACCTCGATGCACTTCCGTCTTCACCACCAACAGCACCAGCACCAGCACCAGCATTTCAACCACAGCCGCTCTACTATTTTCTATTTGTCATTAGTTTTCGGGCAACATGTGTGCGCGCACCGCAATTTGCTTTGAAGTATTGGCGTGAAATTTTAATTGTTTCGGATTCGACGCCATCTTGCCAATGCGCTCAATAATTGCGACGATGCTCAATTTTTTGTTCGCATCAATACAATTTTCGTCTCCTCAAAATTACACACGCTTCTACTGAAATGCAATACATTTTTAGTTTAAGTAATAAATAAATGTATCGCTATAAAAACTTGTAATTTTTAAATATATAATTATGTTCTATAAGCAGTGTATTCAAAAATTCAAATATTGAGAAAATGTTGAATATTTTACAGGTCTAGCTCGAAGGCACATATTATCTCCCATTTAATCTCCTATTACGAATATTTTGTAGATATTCGAAACTAATTATTATTAATTTTTAGCTCAATGCGTACAACATTTTTATTTAAAAAAAGCATATCTTTAAATTTAATATTATGCTTTCAATCAGTTTAAAAAAAACACATCTTTGGTTCAAAACTAAGTGAATTTGAGATCATTTTAAGCATTGTTTTCTTTTAACACAATAATTTATTTTTTATTTATAAGTTATATGTTCCAAACACTTATATTAAATATCCTTAACCATTTAATGTGTTGTTTGTTTCAGCAGTTACTGTCGGAATGTTAAGACCATTGTGGGAGGATACTAAAGATCTTAGATTGGACTCGATGAGTAACTTCGTTATTGCTGGCACATGTATTTTCCCATAGTTCCAGAGTGGCTTTATAGTGGTGCTATATAATTGGACTTTATATTTAAATTATGGAGTGTTTTGGACTGTTTGTTTGTGTGTATGTCTTTTATCGACAAGTACGCCAAATATGACTGCAGTAACATAGCTCTGTTTTAATATATTTTTATATATAGCTTTAGTTTTAATTTTTAAAATATATTTAAATACAAATAAGAAATTAATATATATCTCTATGCAAATATAGTAGAAATGAGTCTTCATTGAAATAAAATATTTTTAAAATTGAGTTTGATTCAGAGATTGCACATTGCAACATTTTGTTTATATTTTGTCATGACTCATATAAATTACATTTTTTCCGAAATTCATTTTGGGTTAGAGTTCACAATAGATGCCGATAGGTCGAGTAATTTGTAGGATTATAAGGATAGAACAATCAGCTAATTTTAATAATGCCCAAGATCTTTCTGCCTAAGACTCTGTTGCCATTTGGCTGCCAATTCAGTCTATATTTTGACTGTTTATGGCAGAGCTCTGACGAGTGCATGCACCCGAAATCAACGCCCACCAGTCGCTCGCGGCCTGGCCGCAAACTTTGACCGACATTTGCAGTTCAAAACGGCGTTAAACAGGCAGCCAAGAGATGCCGACGTCGCGTCATCGCTGGCAGCACGCGAAAGTTTTGCCATAAAAATGTGCTCGCTTTGCCTTCGAACTCACCTCGATGAGGTGGAAAAGAAAACGGAGACTGAGCAGCACAGAGCGCAGATTGGCAGCGACAGCGGCAACATGGCGCTGCGTGCGAATGAGAGCGCAGTGCTAAGGCGGTGGTGCAAGCGAGACAGCAAACGCTGCACTGTGTGATAGAGAAGGCGAGTGAATAAACGGCGCACTCGCTTGCTCTGGAGAGCTGGGAATTGGCAATCGGTTTCACACCACCGTAACCACCACCACCAACACCACCGTAAGCAGTAGCAGCAGCAGCAGCAGCAGCACCTCCTATAACGGGCTCTCTGTACAATGTAGCAAAAATGTTGCTACGCTGACGCTGGCAGAGACTGCGACGTAGCCTGACTGAGTCTGAGTTTTGTGCGTCGGGCGCGCTGCAGGTGCGGTTAGTCTCGTTTTGACAGTCTTGGCGCAACGTTGCAAGCGGTAGGCAGCGGCGAAGACGAGCAACAACAATTGCCAGTCAAATAACAGCAATTAGATATTTATAGTTACCAAGAAGTCAACATTTTTGAACCTTCGTTTATTTCATTTAATTTTTTTTCTTGCCCACTCCTTTTTTGTGCCGTACTTACGTGAGTGTGTGTGCGTGTGTTACGAACAGCCATAAGCAACTTGGCAAAAAAAAGTGCAAAACAAAAAACAACAACAATTCAGAACCTTAGACGCAGTGCACGAAAGCTAAACAACTTGGGTCCATTGTAGGCCAAAAACAAATTGATTGCGTGTGCGAGTGTAGGTGTGAGTGTGCGCATTGTTTTGTGGCCAGTGGCAATGAAAGACTCAATGACCATCCTTACACAAACGCTGCCGACAACCACGCCCCCCATCGAGCTACAGCAGCCGCCGCACTTACATCAGCCGCTGCATCATCATCATCTCCACGGCCAACATCAACACCATCTCCACCATCACCATCAGCTGCAGCAGCAACAGCAGCAGTTGCACCACCAGCAGCCATCACTGCAACAGCCACAGCAGTCGAGCCACCACTCCAGCATGTCATCATCGAATCTGAAGCCAAGTCGCTCCCGTTTCATGATCAACGATATCTTGGCGGGCAGTGCGGCGGCAGCGAACGCCGCTAGTGTGGCTGCAGCGGCGGCTTTCTACAAGCAGCAGCAACAGCAACAGCACCACAATAACAACAACAACAGTACCACCAACAACAATAACAACAGCAGCACCACCAATAATAATAACAATAACAACAATAGCAGTGGAGAGCAAACACCGCCGGCGCCCCATTCCCCCAACCAAGCGGCGGCGCCACCTTCCCTCCTGACTCTAACACCGCCCGCAAGCCACATGCCACCGCATGCTCATGCTCACGCCCATGCCCATGCCCATGCCCATCCGCATGCATTGCATGCAGCAGCAGCCGCTGCGGCAGCGGCGGCACATCTGCAACTGCAACACCCCACAGCAGTGGTGCCAGCACCACCGCCACCACCACCGCCAACGGCGGGCAACCCTGCAACCAATTTGTTGCACGTGCAGGCACCACCGCCACCACCATCAAGCCACACCAGCGCACCACCACACAAGCTGAGCCACTTTGGCGGCACCGTAGGCGCCACACAAATCGGTTCCAATGGCCTCAATGTGGCTCAATATGCAGCGGCCATGCAACAACATTACGCGAATGCGGCACATGCGGCAGCGGTGGCGCGAAACAGCGCAGCGGCAGCGGCGGCGGCAGCAGCAGCTGCAGCGGCTACGAATGCACCACCACCAGAATTGGACGACAGTAGCGATTACCACGAGGACAATGAGGATTGTTGTGATAGCGATGAGGCGGGCAGCGGAGGACACATGGACGATAACAGCGTTTGTAGTAATGGTGAGGTGAGCTTCTGTACTATTTGGGGCGGGGCGGGGCGGAGCGGTGCGTTGCAGTGAGGGCGTTACAATACAGTACAGTATTGGAACAGGGGCGTGTCAGTTAGAAATAGGGTTTCGCACACAGCTCCCGTATATATCTATAGGACATTATATGCATTATATGCAAAATGTCAATGAACCATTTTGAAGAGTGTTTTATTTTTTAATCGGGTTTCAATACTTTATTGAAAATAATAAGAACAAGAATGATTACTAGGAATCCCAGTAAAGGCTCGGCCCAATTCAAATTAGACGGAACTAACCCTAGAAATGTTTTCACCGAAAATTCCCAATTGCATTCCAATAAGTTGCTAATAGCACAATTATTGACTCGTCCCTAGAAAATGCAGATCTATTCCTCACACCCACCGGCAATCCCACAAGAATTTAAGCTCTTTCCATTATCAGCCCGCTGCAAGTTCGTCGCCTAAGTCTTTTGTATTGCTTCCAATTTTCACCCCCAACGTATCTTTTGTTTTTGTTTTTTTTTCGCCTCAGAGTGCTGCGCGTGCTGCACAAAAAGCCACAAAACAATTTACAAAACAAACTGTAAAAATTGAGCGAGCGCTCTGGGTGTCGTGTCGACTCTGACGCTCAGCTGTGATTGTCTGCCAGCAACAACAACAACAACAACAACAACTGCAGCGAACGACGCCGACGCCGACGACTGTTCTTTCAATTGTGGCGCGCTTTGCTCACTACCGCTGTTGTTGTTTGTTGTTGTAGCAGTTGTTGTTGCTGGAAAATTGCATTTTCACGCTTTGTTTGCGCTGCGAGCAAAGCTTTCATGGGGCAGACCACTGGGAGGCATGAGATTCCAGGCCCTTGGACTGGGGTCGTCAAGGCAGCCAAATACCTATACTAAATGTTTATTTGTCTTGCAGTTCGCACAGCAGAATTGTTTAAGCAACAACAACAACAACAACAGCAACATGCCAATGCAATGCCAAACGCCCACACGGCTGTGCAAAGCTTCCCCCTCCCCACTCCATACATCCACTAAGGAGGTCGGGAGGAGGGCGGAAGAAGGCAAACAAAGCGCATGTTGCAAAAATTATTATTTCATTTCAAACTGGGCACAAAAAAATAATTATACAGCTGAAGCAGAGGCACATACACAAGCGTGTATGTGTGTGTGTATGTCTGTGCTATCCTTATCTCTCTTTGTCTCGCATACCCCTACCCCTCTCTTGCTCTTGCTCTCTCCCTCTCTGCCCCTCTCTGTCGAACGTTTGCGCGACTGCTGTCGTTTGGCAGAAACAAAACTGACAATCATTTAATTGTGGAAATTGTTATAAAAATGCATTTAACCCTTTAATAGTCGCCTTGCGGGCCTCTTTACTGTCCACACACACATACACACACAGAGACTCGCACTCGCACGCACACACACACACACACACATACACACACAATGCTGGTTGTGCAATTGCAGTGACTGCATCTTTCGCATTTATTACTGCAATTTCCTGTGAAGTTTTCAAGTTGCACTTTTATAAACGGTAGTCGCGTCTGCCTGCTATATAGTACTACTTGTATGTTTGTTGTTATTGCTGTTGTTGTTGTTGGGGTTGTTGTCTCTGGTTTGCCTTCGTACAATGCCACCAAGTTGGCCTGCGATTGGCCGTCCGGTTTGCGCCGATTTGAAAGACTAAAATATACTCGTGCATCTGCATCCACAACCTGATTTATGAGAAGAGTCTGGGGAGGGTGGGAGAAAATCTTAGGACTACTGCAGATCTACAATCACAGACAAACCTGATACAATTTGTGGCTCAAAGTCAGCATCTCCCAGTCGCGCCTGAGCCATACACAAAGATCGTGTCAACAGCTATAATTTCAGTTGCAAGTTTTCACTACGAAAATACATAGTCAGGAATCAGGGACAAACTCAACTCATACAAATTCAACTCCGAAACAAGTTTTGGCATCAGAATGTACACTTCGTCCTTAAATCAACTAAATAATGTCTTGTAAGAAAAAAAAAACTGAAACAAAGTTATCGCAAACTCTTCTAAATTCGATTAATATTTTGAATTAAATCAAACAAACTAAAATCACAAATCTCACAATTTGGGATTAAAAAAGCAACCAACACAGCTAAAGCACAAGCTACCAAATCTAACAAAAAAAAAATATATATATATAGTATTATTTGAATAGTATATTTGAATTCTCTAAATGCCAACAGAACCTTCGCTTCAATTGAGAATACTTTATATAATTTATAAATAAATTGAGAGTTCTATGAGTCAAATATTCTCAATATTCAGTCCACTATTTTCCGCCTATATGTGAGCATATTAGATTCTTACGCAGGACACTTATATTCAAGTTGTGTCTGGGGTATTCATGCGACGCTTCTATTCCAAGTTCGATAGAAATGTAGACCTATTACGTTGCATTCGGCCATCATAAAAATACTTGTATGATTAATTATGACTACAATTAACCGAACAATCGATCGTTTTAGACATTAAAGCCACATTAAATAAATGCACATGCATGCCTGCCAAATGAATCGCTTGTACGAGTAACTTGTCCCCTTTTGGGAACTTTAGACGTGCATGCAACAACAACAACAACAACAACAACTACTGCTACTACTACTGCTACAAGAGGAAGAAGAAGAGAGACGAATTAATGTTAAGCGCTCTAGCAAAACGTTCACTTGGCAAATTTTCGCTTTAAATAATTTAACGGTCATAAGTTGACGTCAGCGGCAGCGTCGACGCCGCCATTGGCAGCGACGTCGACGTCGCCGGAGCACTCACTCAACTCATTTTGCGCTTATCAGAAAACCACAATCAGATGAATTTACATAAATTTTATGTACTAAATGGCAACTGCACGGCCAGAGGGGTTGCTGAATGGATAGATGGATAGCTGGCTGGCTGGCTGGCTGGCTGTCTGTCTGTCTGTCTGGCAGGCTGGCTGACTGGTTGGATGGCTGGCAAGCCAACTTTAGACATTTTACTGTACATTTTTATTACACAGCGCTCGCTCTCTAAATGGTAGAGAGTGTGGCAGGAGGGGAATGTGTGCGTGTGCTTTAGTTTACTTTTGTGTACTTTTGTGCCAAGAAGTGGCCAAAGGCCCGGCACCTTGTGAAGCGGAAGCGGCCATAAACGCCCGACGCCGAAGACTAACAAACAGACAGACAGACAGACAAACGTGCAGACAGTCAAGCAGACCATGTGAATAAATGTATGTGTGTGAGTGTGCGACTACTTATTTAGTACGATATAATGGGACTTTAGTCATTAGCAGTCTGTTGTTTGTACAGCAATATTGTAAATGTGCCTCTTCTCTCCCATTCCCCGACCATGCAGGTGCCAAAGATGACGATGGCAATAGCATCAAGAGCGGCTCCACGAACGACATGAGCGGTCTGAGCAAAAAGCAGCGCAAGGCCCGCACCGCCTTTACCGATCACCAGTTGCAGACTTTGGAGAAGTCCTTCGAGCGCCAAAAATACCTGAGCGTGCAGGAGCGACAGGAACTCGCCCACAAACTGGACTTGAGCGATTGTCAGGTGAAAACCTGGTACCAGAATCGCAGGTATGCATGGGCATTACATTTATAATATGAGAAGTGCTTTAAGATCTATTAGCTGGTTATATATTTCAAGTGATCTGAGCTCCTTAGCCACAAATATATCTCAAATATCTGCAGACAGAACTTAAAAGTCTATCTAGTTTTTGTAGCTTTAATAATCAAGTTATATGGTAGAGTTTTTTAAAATGAATACACTGTTTTTTGCAATTATATGTAAAAGTTTAAATGAATAGAAACTTCTGCTTCCAAGTAGATGATAATGTTAATATATCTCACAAACAATTTTGCATTTGTTTTATGAAAGAAATAATGAACCAAGCATTATTTTTTGAAAACAAAAGCTCACTTAAGATAATCATCACAGAATTCGGCAAAGCCAAACGACTAGAATTTTTTGTTTAGCGCTTTAACTAATTTCGCATTTTCCTCGTACCTCTTTGCCCCTAGAACCAAATGGAAACGCCAAACGGCAGTGGGTCTCGAACTGCTTGCCGAAGCGGGCAACTTTGCGGCCTTCCAGCGCCTGTACGGAGGATCACCCTATCTGGGTGCCTGGCCCTATGCCGCCGCGTCGGGTGCGGGCGCCACACACGGCGCCCCTCCCCACTCCAGCATCGACATTTACTACAGGCAGGCAGCGGCGGCAGCGGCAATGCAGAAACCACTGCCCTACAATCTGTACGCGGGTGTGCCGAGTGTTGGACCACTTACCGGTCTACCCAGTACGGCGCCCTTCTCACATCTCTCTGCCTCCAGTTCGCTCTCATCGCTGAGCAGCTATTATCAGAGTGCTGCGGCGGCGGCAGCAGCGGCCAACGGTGGCAGTGCAGCAGCAGCAGCGGCGGCGGCGGCGGCGGCTGCAGCCTCGGGTGGTGTCATCAAGCCGCTGGCCACACCCCCATCACCCACATTGCAACTGACGGCTGGTGTCGGCTCCCGTCCCGCCAGTCGACGCTCGACGCCGAGTCCGACGTTGAATCCGGGAAGTCCGCCGGGCCGTTCGGTGGACAGCTCCCAGGCCCAGTCCGACGATGAGGATCAAATACAGGTGTGAGAGGTGTGTGCTTGAGTGTGTGTGTGTGTAAGTGTGTGTGAATGCTACTTCATTTGTATGTGAGAGCGTGTGTGTGTGTGTGTGCTTATTTATTGTAACTTTTAATAATTTATTAATCGGGGTCTTATAGGAAATCAGTCTATCGGGTTAGCTGCCAGCTGAACTTAAAAAATTCGGTCCTACGAGTATAATGCCACCAACAATATTATCAGATATCAGAGAGAGCTGATCATTTACTGGGAATTATAAAATGTGCTATCAGCTTAATAATTTTTTCATTTTAATTTCGGCTTTCCCTCGAGGGGATTTAATTTGCTAAAAAAAAATTGCAGCACCAAAAAAAAGTGTGTTATGCTTTTTGGGCAAATTCAACAAATGTTCAATTAGTTTCTCAAAATTTTCACATCTAACAACTGGGATTAGCAGGGCTGCTAAGTGCAGTTCGAGTTGGCAGCCTACATATATGAGCAGCAATTGGTGGTGCTCTCAAAGCTGATACTTATAATCCTTAATACTGGATCGATCGAAGGTCTCAGCATATTATGGTCTGCACATGCCGTCTCACTGGTTCGAATGGTTTAGCAGTTAACCTGATAAATGGACAACTATTAATGCCCCAAACACTTAGGGCTAAGTATTAAACGAACATATAAATATAAGTAATTGCGTGAATGTTTCTGAATGCATGTGAGCTTCAATATCGGCAAGCCAGACGGTCAGAGTCAGAAGCACCTTAGGCTGCTCTTTTTGCTGGCCTCGCAAATAATTTATGACAATGTTGTAAAAATAAGGAAAACAAAGGCAAATATCTAACAGCCAAATGATAAACAAATCACAACAACAAAAACAACAACAAAATTATAAGCTCTACCCCCCTCCCCATTGTATAATTGTGAACAAAGCTGCATTTGTAGAAATCATGAATGTTTGTAATAATCTTTAAAGATAAACACTTTTTTTTCGTCGATTAGCGTATGCGTCCTCAATGTATTAATATAATGTAAAATGTAATTTTATTGTCTATGTTAGCAACAATTTTTTTTGTCTAAATAAATAATATGTACCTATATACACATACTTGCAAACATCGCTATTTTTTGTGTACTTCTGCATAGAGAATGCATAGAGAATTCAACGGCTTGGCTAGGCGTCTCTCTGGCTCTGTGTCTTTCTGTCGCTTCTGTGTTTTTGAGTCTGAAACGTGCAAACGTGTCCGCTGGCAATTAAAATAATGACCAGCAGTGGAAACAATGACAACAACAACAACAACGACAACAACAAAACAACCAATTTACAAACGAGGCATTTGGCAAGCAGTCACCAGACCCAGAGACCCATACCTTTGCCCATACCTCTAACCGGGCCACGATGATGACGACGTGCTGTCCAACCCCTAATGATAATAATTGCATGCAAAATGCATTTAACCGCAATTAGTGCATTTATTAGGCCAAAAGTTGATATATTGAAAGAGCGAGAGAGAGAGAGAGAGAGAGAGAGCGAATACGTTGGTGGCAGCATTTGGCCAAAAAGAAAAACAACAACTACAATTTACAAAGCCTTTTCAACTGGCATTGCGTGTATGGCCCAAAATGCGCTCCAGGCAAGAGTAAAAGCTAAGAGAGATGACAAGAGGGGACGGGTAAAGGCAAGATGAGTCCAGCTGGTTTGTGTAATGTAATTACTTAAACATTCCTATGGTGAACTAGTTCCGTAAGCAACTTTGCAAGGGGAACTAAAAGGACATTTTCAACATTGAGCCCAGTCTAAGCCTGCTCTCATACGAGTAACTAGTGTCGAAGCTGGTAAAAGCTTCTAAAGAACTGGTTCACTTGTATATAACAAACAAAACAGCATTTCATCTGTTAATCAAAGCTGCTATCCAAAAACAAAAAACAAGTTTAAATTGCATGAACTAGCTCTCTGAGTTCATCATTAATTTAGTAACTTATTACTTCACAAGACGTTTGCTATTTATTCTTATAAATATACCCATATGATTATGAGTTTCAATTCAGAGAACTAGTTCCCAAAAACAATTCCGATTTTGCTCAAAGTTGTATGAGGACCCCATATCTGCGCAGAAACAAGAGAATTATTCAAGGGCTACTAGTTCCGCAGGCCTTACATTTCAAAAAAATTGTTATTGACAGCAAATAAATATAAATCAAAGTGTGAACCACTTTACTTAGAGTTAATTAACTATAGTATTTGTATATTCGAACTAGTTCGGTTAAGGGGCTCTACAGTAATGGAAGTTGATACCTTGCTTTTCGCATTCAGCGCGCCTTCTCGACAAATTGGCCTGGCTGGGCTAAAACAAAAGCAACGCATGACAGGACAATAAAATAAAACGGCAACAAAACACCAATACAGTAAAAAGCTGCAACAATTTGAAAGGGAAGGGGATGGATGGATGCAACCTCTCATTAGAGACAAATGACACACGACTTACATAAATACTCGTACATACATGCGTGTGTGTGTGTGTGTGTGTGTGTATGTGTGCGTGCGGCCAGTTACGGTCAATTAAACATTATCGTTTGTCGGGCAGGACCGCAAATTGCCAACGCTGCTAATAATTGCGACAATAACTAAATAGTAGCCTTCAAAGGTGCAGTGTTGAATAAAAATAAAAATAAAAACCGCGCAGAAGTGTTGGTAGACGACTGCAGTGTTGATTAAATACACTTTTTCACAGCTAGAGTTTTTAATTTCAATGGCACCGCTCTAAATATTCATTGCGTTCTCAGACGTCCTGTCGAAAGCAAGTGTTGTTATCTTAAATTTATTTTTGCATTTTTCAATTGTTTTCAATTCAATTTCAATTATTTTTTTATGAACTTTATTGTTTTTGTATTTTTCACCGATGGGACATAAAACGCGTGATCTAGGAAGCTGCTGGTCTTTCACATAAAACGCGAGATCTAGGAAATGTCCAGCATTCTACAATAAACGCAATATCTATTTCTTAATTTATTTTTATATTTCTGAATTTATGTAATTTTCAATTATTTTTATATCTCTGGTCTTTCGTAGGATAACCGAGTTGTAGTTGGTCTCTGGTCTTTAACATAAAACGCAATATCTGGGGAATCTCCGATATTCCACCTTAAACGCAGTATCTATTTCTTAATTTATTTTTGTATTTCTTAATTTATGTAATTTTTCATTATTTTTATGCAAGATTAAGGGGGCCGACAGTATAAACAAACTTTCAAATTTCAATCAAAATTACATTTTCCTCCATCGTCTAAATGGGGAAAATACAAAATCGTACAAATTGCCAAACCAACTTCTGCGTACATACATATGTATATACATATGTATGTGTATGTAGGAATACATATGTAATTGCACAAATTTCATGTATAAATTAAGGACACCAGGACATGTCATCGCTCCTGCTCCTGATGGCGTTTGATATGCAAACTTTGGCAGTTGATGGATGATGGCATCGACACCATTGGCATCATCGAAGTCATCAACTTCATAGGGGAGAAGGGCTTGGGGACGACGAACGACCGTTGGGGTTTGTTGCCAGCCAGCCAGCCCGGCTTGATGAAATGAAGCAGAAATATTGGCTGCTTACTGTGCTGTAACATCAATTTGCATGGAAATTAGCCATCGACTCTCTTCAGCATTCACAACAACAACAACAACAACAGCATTAACATACATGACAGACTGTCTCTGTCTACTCACATATGTATTATACATATATGTAGCGATTCTTTGTATATTGGGTGTTCAATTAGTGGTACAACATTTTTGTGGGTGAGTCGCCGCCCATCGCTTTGACAGCATCAAGGAATCAGGAACCACAATTCGCTTAAGCAGCACCAATCAACCAATCAAAAACGGGATACAATTTGTTATGCCTGGGTGGCATATGAGAATTTTCGCCTTTGGCTGAAACAGTCTCTTTCCGAATCATCTGAATGTGCGCAATTCTTTAGTAGGTTTTCAACGAATTGTAAATGTCTGAATTGCTTTGAAGACCCATGCTTGTTATGTAGATGACACCATCAACCTCTCTTTTGCAGCTTTCAATTATAAAATAAACAACATTGCTAGATAAAGAACCAAGAACCAAGTTTATTGCAATAAACTATTTCTCATTAAGGGCGTACAGAAGAGCTTTAATCTATCTGGTAAACTAAAACTTTAGCTCCTACTTATTAGTGTAATTTGTAGTCACTTATTGCATATTTTTAAAACTTGATGTATTTTTAACCATTTCTACGTGCAAGAAACAAAGGCCTCGGAGAAGAGCTTCATTCTGTCAACTTTAAAACTCGTAGAGCAGTACTGATCGAAATGTATAAACGGTCAAAAGAATTCATCCCGTCCTGCATATCATTGACAAAGCCATAAGCTGAGTGTTATTTGTAGTTAAATAAAAGACAAATTCTGAATATTTAAAAATCTAAATGCAATGAAATTTGTGCATTTCTTTAAATGCCTGTTAAAGTATTATTGCCAGAAGACAATTATTTCTCGAATTGGCCGACAGTAGTAATAGTGGAACTACTTTTAAGTTTAAGTCACACATAAAAAATTATTTAATTTTAAAAATTTGGATTATAGAAATAATAATGAAGGGCTTGTGAATAAAAATAGGGTTTATATAAGATAAATGGGATATAACTTTCAAAAAGGCGACAAGAATGACACCAGACTCAATCAACAAATATGTTTCAATATTGAAATTAATGATTATTATTTGGAAAACATGCTTAAAACCATTATCAGGCTACACAAAGAACACCTGATGATGGCCTTATTCCAGAAATGAATACAGAAAGCCGAGAAATTGACTTTTTTGTGAGTTGGTGGGCAAAGGCTTAGACATCTGTTTTCTCTTGAAACTTTTCGGCAATTTCCAGCTAAATGCTGCCAAAATACACTCTTACTCGTATGGCCATAATGCTAGGGAACAACTTGCAACTTTGGCTGACTGCGCGAACCGGAAGAACGCCCACGATTTTGGTTGAAAT